TTTTGTTTCGGAGTGTTACGATATTACCGGAAATGTAACAAATTGTTGTTCGCGCGGACTCTTCGGAGTTCGAAAGTTTTCGAGAAGTTCGTTACGGAGGTAACGTTTAAGGTTTCGAAATAGTCTCGTGACCGAGTGATGTCAAGCGACATCATGTCACAAACATTGTACACGTCAGCTGTCCAGTGTTACACTTCACGAAGGAAAGTATTCTTACACTTTGTTTTTGTTTAAAGCGTTTTTTACGTGGGTCGTCACCAAATAATTCTTTGTGTTTCGTAAATGACTATCGTATACGTTTCTATATAAAAAATACCGCTGTAGCCTACTGCTTCTGTGCAACAACCCTAATTTTTATATAAATTTTATAAGAGTATATTCGTATAATGCAAACGTTTGTGATATAACGAGCACTTATTTATTATGACATCGTCACAATGCCGGACTGCAATTTTAATCATATTTTTAATTTATTTGATTAAAAATATAAGCTCTTCACCTTAAATTAGTACTGTAGTGTTTTGCCACTGTACCGATACATCATACTTTTCTGTTAGCAATGGAGTCATCTAACTCCTTTCAAGGGAAAATTTTTTAATTGAAATAATGTGACTTCCGGTTTGCATCTGAAGTTATGTATATAGTTAATTGGGGCCTCCTGCCCTAAGCTTTCTACATTTGGTCTTGAATTTCATCTATTTAACACCGTTCTAGAGAGTAAGGAAAGACAGATAGACGGACAGACGAACGACAATTTTTTCAAATTGCAGTCCAATTAGAAATGAGATAAGTTGATCTTCTGTTTTATATCTAACTCCTTATACGTCTTCTGTTTTAAACTGTATGATTGTGTTTCCAAACTTCAATAACGCGTACTATAGGAATTGTTAAGGGTTAAATATTGAAGTGGCTCTATCAATTTGGGACAAGTTTATTCTATAAAACATTGTTAAAATCTATTTATATTTTTATTTTATTTCTATTTTTAATAAAAATATTATTATATGATATCATAATAAACTAACAGTCAATTCCATCCTAATGTTTTGTAATGTGTTTATTATTTCACAATGCCACTATCATTTCGAAACAGATTGTATATATAACTCGTTAAGGCCTATGTCGTGACGAAGAAGAAATTTTGAAATTCGATTTATCATTTATGGGTTGAGTTATTTGAAGTGAAAATTTGTCATGTAAAATCCGTGAGCCGATTGCTGGTTGTAAACTGGTCGGCGCTACCTGTCAATCGAGTTTACGATTGCTGTTAATTTACATTGATCATACCCACAAATTTTATTTTGATCTTTACGATGGGCATTTAACATGCACTATATCGTGACGAAATCAATTTTTCGAAATTCGCACGCGAGTGTCCCGCGGTCGTACATGTGCGTTTTCACTAGTTATTTGAGTTGATAGGCCTCTGGTCGCACATTTCCGTGTTTTAAATATTTTTGTTGGTTATGACGTTAGAGCTCACTTTACTCTCCCCAGAAAATACCTAGTTAATCGAGACAAATGTGCAGAAAGGAAAACATTGTATGGTGTTTTCTCTTTCCATCAGCATTGTCCGACAATAAAAATCGATCCTCTAACAACGGTCGGCCAGTGAATTCTCATAGTGTTTGCCTCGCTTTACCTAAGCCAATAATTCGCTTAATACGAAACAAAAATATGTAATTGACTTACTTAGCTGCTTGCTATGAAACGCGCTCAATACCGGCTACATTCAAATAAATCAGAAATGAGTTGCTGTACTTTCCCGGCAATATTTAAAATTTCGATAATGCCGTCTGTTATCATACTTTATTAAAAACTTTTTATATTTTTAAATATAAAATGGCAAGAAGCTTAATTTTTGAGTATAGATGGGTTTTATACAAAATTGTAAATGCCAAAAACCAGTAAAATCATCACGAAGTTAGACCCTACTGGGAATACACACGACCCCTATTATCTCCCCTACCCCTCGATCTTTAGTCACTAAAATGTAATAGCATCAATTTCTCTAACAAACAAACCTCCCCGCAAAATTTCAGAAATTTTTAACAAAAAGCACAGGAGTTATTAAGCTTCAAAGAAAGTGAACAAAATCATACCCCACACACACATACATAAAGAAATTGCCGAAGTTTTTTGCTTTTCTCGATGTTTCCAGGTGTCCTACGTCCAAGAATGTAAAAACCTGGGAGTCATTTTTTGACGGATCGCCATACTTTCCCTCTGTATAACAGCCAGAAAAGTAAAAATTACAATTGTAACTGCTTTTCTTTTTACATTAGCTTTTTATTTATTTTTAACTGTTTTTGGAGTTGTGTTTTATTATTTATTGTTAATTTTGAATTTTTGTTTTTATTCTGTTTGTTTTTAAGAGGGTGGTAATTTCATACCGAATGGTATTACCTATAGAATATATAAATAAATAATAGAAGAATATAATAAAACGTATAAATAAATAAATTATCTGTGAAAGTATATGTTTTTGTCATTGACAGCCTTGATGTTTATGATGTTCAATACTTAATTAGACTTAGCTTTGTTATATACTAGGTATTCTCGTGAATGTGCGTACATTTATATAAACTATTTCACTAACTGAAATAACCTATTCAAATTAATTTGATAATACAGTAATACCCCGAACTTTCGCGATAGGTGGGACCGAGCGATAACCGCGTAAGTCAAATTAGAGTAAGTCGGGGTATAATTTCACATATAAATACATACAAATTGTTTTTAATTGGAGCCGGAGACTAAAGAAAACAATAATTTAGAAAAAAATGTTTAATAAAATCTTAGATAATACATATGTATAACAAATTATATTATTAAAATCGTAAATCGAAGTTATTTTGATATAGAAGGCTTCATAAAATCTAACAATTTCGTCTGACGGCTTAAAGTTTTTTTCTCCCGCAAAATTTCCTCGCAGCATGCTAATATTTTTTTTTATTTCTCGTTTAATAGAAGAAACGCGCTTTTCGTTGGAGTCTATATTTTCTAAAATTTGTTACCCCCTTTTCAACTGAGGACTTCTGTTAAGTTTCCAACCGTCATTCGATCTTCTGATTGAACTGGGTCTAAAGTAGGGGTCCCCAAAGTGGTCGATATCGACCCCTTGGGGTCGATAAAAGTTCTCCAGGGGTCGATTAATACACAAGGGTCGAAAGGGGGTCGATTAATACCAAAGAAGATCAATTAAATTGTCTAGGAAAAAAATAGAATATTCCAATAAAAATTCAAAATACGGATATGATCAACAAAATTACTGACTACCCTAATTATAACTTGAGTTTTGCCTTAGCCTACGCCGCTTTAAGCATGTGTTACTCTTTTTTCGCGCATCTGGCAACTGTACTAGTGTTGCAAACATGTTATGAACTCTGGTAGTTCATTATACACAGACATACGTTGCACTGTTACACTCTAGTAGGGTTGTCACTCTAAGTATCTTATATCTAAATGTAGATATTTTGTCCTTTACAAAGAAAATATCGTAATATATCGAAAATCATTAATATAGTGCAGAAGCGTTTGCAAGAAAAAATGGCCTTTCAAGTAAAAATGGAGCATAACATTAAAAGTGCTCAGCAAGTAAACACAGAAATTAAAACACCTTATTTTGTTGCTGAGAAATATAATTGAAAAACTAACGTTTTCAACCTGATTAACAGGCCATCATCAGGTCTAAAAAACGAAAATGGAACAGATACGTTCCATGTATAGAATATAAATATTTAAATCAAAATTTAGAACAAAAATTTTTAAAAATATACAAGAGAAACGGAAGAAAATATAAAAATAACACAAAATAAAATTGAAAATAAAAAATATAATAAATCTTCCAATAAACTAATTCTAGCTTGAGTTTTTAGTGAACTTTTTAATTATGTATTTCCACGCCGACGACAGGCTCTCAGCATCTCTCGCATTTAAACATCTCTCACTTAGCCTACTCCTATATATTTCAATCTTCTCCGCCGTCATTGATATAAAAATAGAGCTACTTAAATCTTCACTTGCACTATCCGATTTTAAATATTTTTCAAACTTGCGAGTACTAAAAGAAAATGAAAAGATTTCCGACCGTGATTTGGAGATACAGTATATATTAAACATCTTGATAAATTAAGAGAAGACTTTAAAGCACGTTTCGAAGAATTGGAAAATATGCATGTTTCCGAATGGTTTGCTAATCCATTTGATGTAAAAATAGATAATGAAAGTAGTGAAACTGGCTTAGAAGATGAATTGAGTGAAATATGTGTAGATCTCGAAGCTAAAGCGTTGTTTAAAAACAAAAACATTAGTGAATTTTAGAGCAATAACAATATTGCCACTAAATATCCCAAGCTCAGAGCAGAAGCTGAACCTTTCTTACTTGCATTCCCAACTTCATACGTGGTTGAAGCTGGTTTTAGCCACGCGAATGCAATTTTCTACAGAGAAACAGATTGAACGTGGAAAACCGTGGTGATTTGCGACTAAAACTTACCAATTTTCAACCGAATATCAATAATCTTGCTGCTTCTCTTCAGAGACATCCATCCCACTAATATCAACTATTTTAATAAAAAGGTATGTCTACATATTTTTAAGGCTTTCAGTAGTAGTCGCAAAATGACAGTAAGAGGTTTTTTCATCCAATATAACTAATGTTATATTTTCAAAGATAAGTGTGTATTTTACGTATTATGACACGTACGGTTTAAGAACTATAGGCAAATTTCCATCTATCCATAATTTTGCTATTATTTTTTAAGATTGTAAATCAGTGAAAAATATCTCCTCTTTCTGTTAATATTGTTTTATTGGGTGGATTTTATAAAATATGGGAACTATAAATTATTTATTTGGGTTGTTATGCGGGTCTCCTTATCGCTTAACATTAGAAATGCAAAAATGATTTAATGTTTTTGTTAAATACTTAATCTGGGGGTCGATAAGAAGGCACATATTCTATAAAGGGGTAGACAGGATAAAAAGTTTGGGGACCCCTAGTCTAAAGAATCAAGTTCTTCAATATCTTGCTCTTGCTCACGCATTTCTATGACCTCATCAATTGTCAGCTCCTGATTGTGGGAATCCAGCAGTTCTCGAACGTCATCACTATCTACTTCTAAATTTATTTGCCTGGCAAAATCGATAACTTCTTCAATCACATTACCAATTTCATCAGTCTCTAGTACTGATTCCGCCTGAGTTTCAGTGGTGAAAAATAGGACAGTTTTTTCCAGACGCCATTTTAAGATTTTTATGAAGCTTCATTCCAAGATTGTCCAATGATTCTCACTGCATCTAAAACATTGAATTGTTTCCAAAAGTCTTTAACAGAGAGCTCGTTGTTTTGTCTCATAGCTCCATGCAGATGGGCAAACGATCGTCTCGTGTAATAAGCTTTGAATGTTTTGATGACTCCCTGATCCATCAGTTGAAGCAAGCTGGTTGTACTTGGTGGCAAAAATACAACTTTCACACGTGGGTCAAAATTAGTTAAAGTTGCAAGAGTATGACATGGCGCGTTGTCGATTATTAGCATCACTTTAAATGGAATTTGTTTAGATTGGCAAGAACGTTCGACTTCAGGTATTAAGTGATGACCAAACCAGTCCTCAAAAAGGGAAGCTGCAACCCAAGCTTTACGATTCGACTTCCAAATCACAGGCAAGTCAGATTTAGATTTATTTTTCAATGTTCTTGGATTTTCCGAGCAGTAAACTAAAAGAGGTTTTACTGTAACTTCAATCACCATCTGCATTCGCGCCAACCATCACTGTCAATCGATCTTTGGCATCCTTAAAATCTGGAAAGGTTTTCTCTACACGCGTGATAAAAGTTCTTTTAGGCATCTTCTTCCAGAACAGGCCAGTCTCGTCTATGTTGAATATGGTTTGGCTGGTATAGCCACCTTCATCTATCATAGCTTTGAATTTCTCTGGATAGAAATGTTGCGGAAAACGTTTTCGCGCTGAAAACGTCGGCCGCAACCTCGCTAATTTCAAAAACAGTAACTCGATATCATATGCTTGACGATATGCATGTGAAGAGCAATACCAATCATAGCCACAATCAATGCTTATTCCCCCGTGGATATGGTCCCACATATTTAAGCAAACAAATATAATAATATTGACTTGTTCATGGTAATACTGTATATCGATATTGTGGACAAAAGTCAATTACGCAGTTGACGAAATTTTCGTTGTAAAGTATATACGCCAGATTTTTATTAAACTTGCAAACACAACGTATCTATCGAAGAATCTAAAATATAATTCTGAAACTTTACGTTTTCATTTATAATCCGTACACAACAAATTGAAGACTTGTTTCTGGAGAGAAAACGAAACAGAAACTAGACGTAATATTAAAATCTACGTCGAAAGAAAATGATTAAAAATAAATTTTATATTATTTTTGTATTTACTTGTTGCAAATAAAATAAATAAAATGATGATTGCCACGAAATAAAAGGCGACTAAAAAGTCCATAATAACGAAAAGACAGCGCTGCTTGACCTGAAAAATAGTCTGTAGTAGCGGAAGTCCGTTATAAAAGAGTTTGTTACAGCAAATGGCTCTACTTATAATTTTCCTATACTTTTAGCCGGACCAACATCAGCCGTCCGTAATAACGCAAAGTCCGTTATATCTGGGTTCGTAATATTAAGCTTTTACTGTACAACATTGTTATATATGTAACAATATGTTAATTATCAAAATTGTCAACGCGGCATTTTGATGCTATCTATCTATAGAAAAATAAAGAATTAAAAAAAATCATCTACGAGTTGTATAACTTTTCTAGCTGTTATGAGATTTTATTCTAAAAATAACTTTTACATTATTAATTATTATAAGAAGACAAATGGTTTAATTTTCCAAATAGGAATGATTTTTAAAAAAAAATTGCAAATGCCAATAACGAGTAAACTTTTCATTACGTCCGACCCCCTCCAGATATGACATATGACCCCCTCGATCTCCCCATTCTCTCGGATTTAACCACCAAAATTTAATAGAATCAATGTTCCTTATACACAAGTCACCATGCCAAATTTCTTCTCAATCTTTAATCCATCTTGCGATATTAAACGAAGTAGACGTCGAATTACACATATATACATGCATAACATATCCATAAAACTTTTTAAATACGGTCGACTCCCTATAACGCTGTTGATTTTCCATTTTATATGAATTCCAGGTTGTACGAGTCACTTAGATTTTACAAATACATGAGCCGTTCACAGCCCGGCACACGTATTTGTAAACTCTAAGTGACTCGTACAACCTGGAATTCATATAAAATGGAAAAATCAACAGTGTTATAGGGGGATCGACTGTGTACTATTTTTAGGTTCAGGAGATGGAGATTTGCAAATAACTCAGAAAGTCGATTTTGACCCGATTCCAATATTTTCCCTTATGCAGAAAATTAAAAAATTTTTTAATTTATTGATGCAAAAATGTAGTAAAATAACAGAATTTTTAGGATAACAAGTAATAAAAAAACAGAACACTCCACTAATCTCCAAGAATAATCTCAACTCTGCTAATATTTCAACGCTCCACTGAACTGTTCCGATTAAAGGGAGTCCATTGTATATTAACTAATAAATTACGCTTAAATATCTCTTTTTATCAATTCTATTCACTTTCATTTATCTATACATTTACACATGAATTAATTTTGTGTAAGTTAAAAAATATAGAGCAGAAAATAGAAAAATTCAAGGACGTATTAAATGTATAATTCTATCAACAAAGTAGCTTTTTAAATTTAAATTTACATATAAATTAATGCATACTTAATTAATATTAATTAATTTTATAACGTTTTAAAACAGAGAAATTATAATTGAGGTATAAGGAAAGGAAATATTGTAATTGATTAAACACTTTCCGTTTCCTCGGTTTGACACCATTCTCTTTCTAGTTCAGAGAAAAATATAAAAATAGTGTTTCATTGAGTAGAGAAAAAATTATAATTTAAAAAATAAATAAATAAATAAATCAGAAAATTATCGCCTCGGGTATATAAAATATAATTAAGAAAATGAACAATTGTATAACCTAAAATTCTACTTTTTTGTGAAGATATGACAATAAAATTATATATAAACTCATTCAGTAAAATAATAAAGAAATAATTAATATTTTAAAAAAAAATTATTTTTATTTAAATACTTGTTATATATATTACAAATAATAACACAGTTAATTTGTTATATATTTTTATATATTATTTTTTTAATACATTAAATTACCATCCAAACCCAAACCCGTGATGGTGAATTGCGGGATAAGCTGGTTTTTTAACAGTAACATGTTTGTACAGTGGAATATGTTTGTACAGGGAAACGTGTTTGTATGCTGGAACGTGATGTTTATAGAGTGACACGTGTTTATGCACTGGAATGTGATGATGCTTGAACACAACAGGCACGTGATGATGCTTGTACGCTGTCACGTGGTGAACAACTGGTCTATATTTTAAAAAAAATGTTCGTAATTAGATTATTTATTAACTATAATTTACAAGAAAAGAATTCTAATTATTATTTAAATATAAAAATTAAGCTTGTCTTCCTTCTTATGAAGAAAACAAGCATTAATTAATTTTTTTCATATACTAATTTCGTAATCATTTTCAACATAAATGATTGCGATATAATTATTCTTCGAAATTAGTTAATTTTAGAAACTGTTAATCAAATTTAATTGTAATTATCTATAAAATTATGAAGCTTTTATTAATAATTAAAAGATTAAACTTATTTTACGATTAAAACAGTTATATTTAGTCGAAAGATAACTTGAAATTTCACTAAATCGATGACACGATAAGACTATATTCTAGATATTACTTGATACGTAATATCTATATATTTATCAATTTTATATAAAAAAAATTACACGATAAAGTATGATAAGCTGATGTATAGATTCTTATATAAGCCTACAAAAATATATACCAGCATTTGTAACTAAATTATAAGGAAAATGTATAATAATTTAAGATAAATCTTGTAAAATATGAGAGAGAAAATCATATGCTGCACTCATTAAATGCAATTTTTTTTTTTTAAATCTAACATTTGTATAACATAAAAGAAAATAGCATTGAGAGTCGCATTACAAAATAACATCCTTTAGTCTTAAATATGATTAATGAATTATTTCCTGGCAAATGAAAATTAATTCGTACGAATAAAATTTACTATTTTTAGTGAATAATATCATTAACTTCTTTTTCTTTAAATGCTTTATTTTCATATAAAATATTTTTAATTATGTTTAATGAGAAAACTGACTTTTAAATTTGCATTTTTTATTTTAAATGTCGCAATGAGATTATTTCGTCATATCTGAGTTTTTCTTTAATTATTATTATTATTGTTTTAAATACAATTGCAGATTATCTGTTAATTGTAATTAAATTTAACAATAGAAGTAAAATTTTTAGAAAATTATTATATTTTCATTTATAGATTTTTATCTTGATAATTTTCTTTTGGATTTTGACTAATTAAAATTAAAACTTTGGGACTTTGGACAATAAAAAATATAAAAAATGTTCACATAATTCTCACAAAAAAAAAAAAAA